ATTCTAAAACAAAGAATAATCTACGTATATTAACACGTTTATTGCCAAGCTGAAAATTGGAATTTCGTATTTTTTTAATTTTTTAATTTAGTTTTTATTGTGCTCAAAATAAGTTAATATATTATTTATATACTTTTATTATTATGTACATAGGATTTATGTACTCTAAATATCTATTACGCGATAACGCGTGATCGGCCGTTTGGTGAGAACTCGCATCACGCGATATCGCGTGATTGGCAATGAACGTGTTAAATGTATGCAATATTCAATATTGAAAGTTTAAATATTAACGTTTAAAAATGAAAACAATGAGAACATTAGAGTTAGATTGCCTAGTCATTAGTATACTTTTACCTTATTATGCCGTAGAATTAAAAGATTAACGTACTTGACACAGGGTCAGAATTTCGATTCAAGGCAATATATGTGTGTGAGCACAGTGTGATTGAAAAATTATAGTAAACTTGGATCTTTAAATGTTAAAGCTATTATGTCGACCTGTGTGCATATTGGCATCGATACGATTAGAAATCTCCGCGCGAGTATTGAAAATTTCTCTCGCGAAGCTCGTGGAGCCACTATGCATCACGCGTGGATCCGAGAGTTTTCTTTCATTTTTTTTTTCTTTTTTTTTTAAAGGAATATCACCGCTTGAGAAATTTCGCGTCGCGATATGTAAATGCATAACCAGCTTCGCACGGCGTCTCCCATTTCCATTTCGATCCTTCCGAGATGATAGTAACTTATTTCTGGCAAGTACTTTTTTGTACGCGCGAGAGGAGCGCGAAAGTTCGCGCACTCGTCGCTGAATGCATTATGCATGCTCGGACTTTGTTGCACTCGCTCTTTGTAAGCGATCGTTGCACGTGCGCGACGGAGTTTCGCGCTCGTGAAATTTCGCGTCTTATTCGGTAGCGGATCATTTCCTCGCGCAACCTGGAACGAAGAGAGAACGACTCTCGGCGAGTGGCCATTTCTCCGCGCCGGCTGATGTCTTTGTGCGTAACTGGTCCGTTTTATTGCACGATAATCACATAATGGCCGCGAATTGACCGCGTCAATTAAAGCTGGCACGAAGCCACAACGTCGCGTTGAACTGAATTCTTTACTCGCTCGGTAAGTCAGCTACGAGAGTAGCTGAGAAAATTATTTATCCTCTCTCTCTCTCTCTCTCTGTGTGTGAAACAGTCTCTCCGCGAACAACTTCGCAACATCTACACGGTGGAATTCGGTTAATTGCGAGTCCACATCGTAGAAATTGTCGGGCAAGAAAAGAACACACTTCAAAGACGGTGTCTCGTTGGCAGCCGCGCAATGCGAATAGATAGACGGAAGTCGCGGCGGTTTCCGTCACCGTTAGATCGATTTGTTCTCACAGTTATGCAAAGGCGGTGTAACGGCTGGGAAATACGCGGAAAAAAGCGGCGGGATCGATTTCACCGTTCGAGCATCGGCTCGATCGGACGCAATCTCTCGGGGAGTATTCAATTTTTCGGTCTGCCGCGCCGCGTGATTGCCGCGCGTCTCCTCCGAGAAGTATAAATTTGCTCGGATGCGCCGATACAACGTTGTATAATCAGCTGCGAGAGTACTTCCGTGCGCGCGCCAAGGTTTCCCGGCTTCGATGAGAGTCGCGACGGCGAAAATTGCCGCGACGAAATAAATTTGTCAAAGGGAACTTTTCACGGGAGATCGTTCGCACGTATTTTCCCCGATATTTTTCTCGCGTCGCACGAGGATTCGATTCGCGTGAATTAAACGTCGGGGAATTCGCATGTCAAGTCTGATCTCGCGTTCCGCTGATCCACCCGAGTTCTCTTCAATTTCCTCGGCTGATCCTGAAATGTCGCTCGCGACGGTCGTGGCGGGAATTATGCGAACATTTAATAATAATAATCTTTATTAATGGGAAAAACTTTTTAGTACACATTACAAGAAAAAAATCGTAATTGACTGATAATATTTTTGAGGCCTGGTAGATCAAAAATTTAAGGAAACAGTGCAGCGTAAAGTTACGATATATAATTTGTGAATAAAATAAGGAATATAGTGAAATAGTTAAAGTAATTGTGAAGTCACACGCAGGACGAAATTTTTAAATGCAGATGAGGTACTATGCGAAAAATTCACCAAGTTGGACGATATGTTCGCTGTCGTACACAGCCTATCAATGTTGGAATTAGAAGCATGGACGCACAGAAGAAAAGTTCTAGATTCAAATAAATAATTACTCCAATGCTTAGTCGATTTCTACTTGAATTAGATCAATTTTACTTGGATCAAGTAAACATATTATTTGATCACTTTTCTTCTGCGTAACATTCGATGCTGCCGGACGTGGAAGAGGGAACATTGCTTCAAATATTTAACTGGGACATTTAGTTCAATAAGTTCCAGAATAGTTAGGTAATATGATTTAGAAGAGGGTAAAAATGAAAACACACACACGCGCACGCAAAAACACAGAAAAATCTCTTTGAGCACGGAGCACGGCATATTTAGCACGTTTAGCGGATATTTAGCATTTTTAGCGGAGCGCGCGGAGAATGGCCGCTTCGGTGGCCTCTGTTTCCGCGATCGCTTATTACATTACCCCTCTGATACCGCGCAGAGTCGGTCACGATAATCCTTCTCGACCGGTTGCGTCTCGCCCCTCTCGATTTTTCCCCGCTTTTCACGCGGCGTTCTCTCGCCTCTGGACGCTATTATTCCGCGTTGCTCGAGAGCAATTTCCTTCGTCGCTTTCTCCGATCGTCCCGCCGGTTTCCTCGACTCGTAGCTCGTGCGACGAGAGTTCAAGGCTCGGCAACGATCGAACGGGGTCCCGACGAACTTCGGCGCGCAATCGACGTGAACTCCGAGGACACCGGAGAAACTTCGTCGGGACGAGTAAAATCGGGACATTAACGACGCCCAAATTGATCCCCTTCGATTGCCTCGTCGACGTGTTTATTCGCGCATCTCTCGGCGGACTTGTTAATAAAGAGTCCGGCGCGACAAGTTGTCGCGAAATACTTCGGAAAAGTTCCTCTCGGACGACGGCGCGGGTAGTGACTCGCGTCGGCTGGGTAAGTGAAGCGGAGCGTTACAAGTTTTGTCGACGTGGGTACTTGAGTGGTCGTGTCTCGCATAGTTAAAAGTTTGAAAGACGCGTACGTACGGCGTGGAATTCCGTCTGATAGTCGGACGCGCCGCCGCCCGTTTCACCTCCAGCGCGTTTTCGCTCGCTCGCCTGTCGATAACTTGGCTTTCTGCCGCTCTCGCGATGACAGGCTCTCGCTTTGCTGTCGGTACGAACACTTTGTCGCCGGCGTGAATAAGTCGCGAGAATTATGCACATACATTTTTAATTGAACGTCTCATGGCGACGCGCCAGCTTCTCGCGCCAGTGTAAACAGAATCGAGTCGTCCGCGGGAAATCAGGTCGCCATCTGTCTCGTCGTTGCACCCTCCGTGCGCCGGCCACCCCTGAGCGCGCAAACCAAACAGCGGGGAAGGTCAGCCGGAAAAGCTCCCTTGTTGTTCCGCTGTAACTGCAGACGAAAAGTCTGGCGCCGATGCGACGGCGATCCGACGACGACGCGGATGCATCCCGTCCAGCTAGCCTCAGTGCTCGTTCTTCCCTTACGCGCTGTGCGTCTCTCGTCCGAGACGCGCGAGAGTCTGCGAGTAATTCCCCTTTCGCCTAATCCAATGCAATCTTGTTATCCCGGCCAGCTTGCTTACGTAATCCAGACGTTTTTATTCCGTCAACCAGCATCGACCTCTCCGGCCTATCAGTGCACACGGATCGCAATGGAATAAGTTCGATAGAGGAGGATCCCGCGTAGAGCTTGCGGGATTTTTCGGCGAATAAAGCGAGCGAGGTGTATTGCAAACAGTGACTTGTTCGGAACGGACATCGCTGGGAGAAGCACCGAGCGACACGGTTTAGTTTTAGCGGAGGCACGAAGAGGGAAGAGCTCTGAATATAACGAAAAGGGATGCGGTAGTTTTCCGCTTTGTACATCGCCCGAGGCGACACACGCGGCCAAGACGTCTCTCTGCGGCGATAAAAGTTTCCCCGGGTGACGAAGGCCCGGGATCGAAACAGACCTTTTTCCTTCACGCTCTCAACTGCGAGGGATATCGAGCTCCTCGGGATGTTGAAGTTTCGAGCATCCGGCCAACGGAAGTGCGGCGGCACGGTGAGAATCTTAAGCGTCTGCGAGATGTCGAGGGGAAGAGTGTTCGTTCTTCCCCCCCGCGGATTTGTGCGATGGGAGGTTATTCGCGTGGCGACGCGCTCGTTTTTATGTTTTTACGCTCTCTTGTTGATCTCTCTTCCTTGCTTCTTCGCTTGAGCGTGTCACTCTTACGTCAGGAACTGTTGCTTGCAAAGGTTCACCCTAGTTTCCGGAGTAACTCAAGAGTGCGCTTTGAGCTCCTCGTAAATACCTCGTCTCAGATATTTCACGGCACTTATCGATTTGCAAAATATCGCAAGCGTTGACCGCGTCAACCCACCGATTTGCCGTCGCTGCTCCGCCTGTGCAGTCGCTTTCGGACAGCGTCGCGTGCCAACGTCTGGGAAGTTGCCTGCCTCCAGGCGCATCGAGGGACCACAGTGGTTCTCAACCGTTTTTCTCACTCACTAAACTCGCTCGCTATCGTTCCGCCATCGGCTGAATCGCATCGCTTCGTAGCGTCAAAGCGATCTACAACTTCTAGACGCGTCAATTCCCACTTACAATAATAATAACAATAATAATAATTTTTACTTACGAGGGATCCTTCGGCATACAATAATGAAATATAATCGTAGAGACAGACATGAGATTAGATTCGTAAAATCTATAAGATAGAGACAAAGAAACAGATCTAATTTAACTTATAATAATTTTTGACGGTATTTCTTATCAAAACTTATCATTATTTGATTATTATTGAATGGTAATAATTGTTCGTAAGAATGTAGATTAGAATCTCTCGATGACGAGATAACGTCGTTGTTGCAGGTGAATCCGGGAAGCAAGGCGGCCCAACAGGGGGTGAGGGAGGGCGATCTGATCAGTAGCATCAACGGGAGGAGCACTCGAGATTTGACCAACAGCGAGGCCCACACTTTGCTACGTACTTCCGGGGAACAGTTGAAGCTCGGTCTCAATCAGTAAGTGATCGGGCCGTTAATGCCCCTCGTCGAAGGTCGAAGTAGCGAAGCGGAGCTAAGCGCTCGATCTGTTTTACCGGATCCACTTTATCTCTGTTTCCTGTCCCGCAGAGAAAACACCGGCTCGCCGAAGAGAAGGATCTACAAGAGCAGCCTTCAAGAGAACACCACCGAAATCCACAACAGTGAGTACTGGCGATCGATCGGTTGTCGTTCCGCGTTCCCGCTCATCGGCGGATCCGTCATTTTTCTCGTTTTTCTGTGCCGCAGAGATCACAACGAGGACCACCACGCGCACACGGACGGAAACGGAGAAAAACGTAGCCAGTAAGTTTGTCATTTCGTTAACGACTCTTAACTTGTACATTATCGTGGCAAGAGCGGAGTTAAGAACCGTGACGGGATTGAGTCTTTCGGTAAGATTGAGAAGCGTTTATATACACAAGCGTACAAGCGGTGTGAAACGATCGGCGAGAGATGGGCCAGTCGAGATGCAAATCTACATCGATAATTAATAATTAGCGGGCCGCCGCGACGGAAACTTCCGGCCGCGTAATGCATCGAATGATTAATTAAGTGCTGCGTTGAATTTATGAGCACTTTCCAATTAATCGCTCGCCCGTTTGAGCAGCGGCCGTGCGCGCGCGCGCCGGCTATCGATTCCCGATTAATCTCGCGCGGTATCAAACGCCGGGCTTTACAGTGTCCGCCGTTATTTTCCAATTAATTTTTAATGCGCCTAACTCGGCGCACTTCAACGGATGCACAAGCCGGAATTGCGGCGCTCGGCGTCGAAATAATTTCGCCCGGGAGCAAATACAATTGTGATCTACAAATGGGCGCAATCGGATCGCCGATCGATCGATCCCACCCGCGAGCGTTCTTCTAAAGTTTATCGGGCTGTGTAACGATTGCACATCGATGCGCGTTTTAATAATTCGCGACTCATCTTCTCTCTCTCGCGCGCGCAGCTCGTGGCTTACGTCCGATTCGATTATTTTTGTTCCCGGGCATCGCATTATCGGAAGAGCCAGAAATTACCGCACGCATGACTGCCGGTTCGGTTGCGCACAATAATCCTGCCAGTTAACTGGGCGTACAATGCGCGTAGTTTAATTATCTCCGATGATCGCGATGCTGACAGACAATGGCGTTCCTTTATGGCGCGCGGCCGCGGAGGAACCGACGCGTCCAGAAATTCGACGTTACGGATTAATCGCCATCGTCGTTAATCGATGACGATTATTGACAATTTGTCGAGAGGAAACGGAAACGGGCAGGCGGAAACTCCCCCACTTAGCGAGGTCGCCAAGTGGAAGAATCTCTTCTCTCTAATGGAACCAGTTTTGGTTAGTTTGCTGAGAAGCGTTCGCGAATCATCGGTCGGAATCACGGAGAAAAGAATAAATTTATTCGTGCGATTGGCGATGAGCCAACGCGCTCGGTAATTTGGAGGGACAGCGAGTTTCATGCTGCTGCGGTAAATAAATAAATAAATAATTACACGGGGTGTTTCTGTCCGATATTTTATGAATTGACTTTTAAGCTCATTTTTGGAAAAAGAGTTTACGTAGATTTGTCTTCATAAAATGATCTGAAAAATCAACTCTTAGAATATTGGACAAATAAGAAACACTTCGTGTGATTATTTATTTGCTGCCGCGGCGTAAAATTCGCCGCTCCTCCGAATTAGTTTTCTTCGTGTAGGAAGCGCGTTGCGACGAGTTAAAAAAGAACCGTTGGAACAACGGCTGTTGTCGCGCGATCGACGGATCTCTCCCGATCGGCGAAGATCGGCCGTTTTTACCCGGATAATAACGAGAGCCGTAATGAGCGCGACGTATGACGCGACATATGAGCTCGTCGATTATAAATACACGGATCATCCCACCATGGCCGTTATTACCGGCTGTTTTCTCCAAATTGGCCGGTCGTCGCGGTACAGCGCACATCCAGACAAGGCATACCCACGCTTTGCGTCGCTCCTCCCTCCCTTTCTCGCTCTCTCTCTCTCGCAACGCACGTGTGCGCGTGGTCTCACGCACACGCGACACACCTGTCCGGAGTTGCACGTACACTCTCATGTACACCTGCCACCACAGAGAAACGCAATTCCACGCTAACTCCGGCGCACCCTCGGCTCTCCAGGAAGGCCCTACGTCGCGACCCTCTTCTTCTACTTCTTCCTTTTCGAGGCCGCTTGCGACCCACCTTCCCGCTCAGTACCGGGGAACACCTTGTCGAGCGCGCCGCGCCGAGTAATCGAATTTCGAGGCGCGTCGTTCGTTCGAAGACGTGAAATCGCGCGCGATCGATCATTCGGAGCGGCCAATTTCGCCCGCGAGATCGAGAGTTCGGCAGGTCGGTCACGTAGTCGGCAAGGAGGGGGAGGAGTTGTGTGAATTCGCGCGTGAATCTCTGTTTTGAAGACGCGAGATGGGATGAGACACGGCGCGAAAAAGTCGCGGACAATTATGCGACCGACTTGTCACCGAGGATGCACTCGGGTGTGAGAACGTAAATAGAATGGGTTGTCCTTACGACAAAATTCGCGGCGGTGCTCGAGCGATTGTTCAAGCCAATGTAAACGCCCAACGTCAATGAGTGTGCAATCAGGAAATGCAGCGGGGATACCTGGCGCGAATGACGTGAATGACGCGATCGTCAACAATGCGCGCATTATCCGGCGGTACAATAGTCGCGAATCGCCGCTTAATGAATCCGCGCGCGGTTGCGTAATGACGAGAGAAAGAGCGTGACAAATGGACGAAAGTAAAGCTCTCAGCGACGAAGCCGTGTAAATGACGATTAATGACGGCCGAGTAATGAGACACGACGAATGATGAAAATCGAGCCCGGACGAAACTCGGAAAATCGACCGACTTTTCTTCAGCGCGCAAAGATGAAGCTCTTCGATTGCACCGAGTGCTTGACGACGCTGCGTCGGCGGCGCGAGTCGCAGCGACGACGCAGCTGCGAGACGACGGATCCTCTGGTGACGACGATACGACCGCCCAGTCGTCGTCCTCGCCTACCTCGTCGCAAGCCGCGCTCCAAGACCCGACGACTTCTCGCCGTGATGCATAGATTCAGCGCGTCGTGGGAGCGAGGACGCGGAATCGCGAGGAGCAAGCTGGAGGCGCGTCCGAGACCGAAGAAAAAACTGCTCGCCAGGATCGACCGTGTGGACAGATCGAGGCGTGTGGGAATTCCCAAGACGTTTAATCGAGGCTGCCTAAAGAGGAGGGAGATCGCGAGCGTGGAAACGTCGGGCGACGACGGACAGGAAGACGAGCCGGGTGCCGGAAGAAGGGCCGGGGAGCTCGAGCGTGAATACTACGAGCACCTGGAGACGCTCAAGTTCCTCATCGACCCGCCGCCGTGTTTCCGCAACACGGAAACCAGGCAGAACTTCGAGAACAAGCTGAACAGCCTGGATTTCAGGCGAATGAACACCGTCGCGATCCCGGAAGGACCTCTGGCGAATGGACACCGGGACGCGAGGATTCTCCGCACGAGCCGTGATCGCGAGAGCTCGAAGACCCTGGACCGCCTCGTGAAGGAGCATCTGAGGATCGAGAGGACGATGATCGATCTGTTCGTCCGGGCGCCGATCCTGAAGACCAGCCACGATCAGCCGTTTGCGCGGGAGAACAAAACGGTTCGTTTCAAGGACGAGGTGGAGCGATCGGCAACATCTGCCGGACGATGGGGAGAATCGGAGGGCCTCGAGGGGGTGGGATCGAACGTAAAGATGGAATTGACGAGGAAGGAGAAGGACGTTCGTCGAGACGGTTCGAAAACGTTCGATGTCGAAACAAAGAACGGTAGGTAGCGGCGAGATTTGATGATCAGGCGAACCTTGTATTTAACGGGAGTTAAAGAGAGAGATAGGATCAATTCGTTTATGCTGGCTGTAGGGTCCTTTGCCCTCTGAGAGCTTAAAAAGGAACATTCATACAATTACATGATGCAGTTACATGATACAGTTGCGTTAGAAGATAAGAATAAAGATAAACACAAGAGTGGAGATATAGGAGAGGGAGGAAGAAAGAAGGAGGTAAATAGATAAATGCGTTTATTTGCAGTCTCGGTTCAGGGGTTGATCGAACGTAGCAGTGTAAGAAGAATACAGAAAGGATTAAAATGGAGGCAAACAAAAAAGGAGAAAATAAAATAAATTGTGCAGATACTAAAGCAGAAATAATGACGATACGTAGGCGGAGTATTTGATAAGCAGTCAGAGCTAGACAGAACTCATCTGTTTCAATTCGCTTCATATGAATTTTTCACTTGTAATGCACTGACGTTAATGCGTCCCTGGATTAATTGTTTGATTGCTGGCGCAGGTAACGAGAGAGAGAGAGAGAGAGAACTACTCTTGAAATATTTCGTTATTCGCGGTATTTTGCGGATGCAACGGTAGTGAGTTCCACTAGAGTAGCGGCTACATTCTGAAATGATTTTTCAAGCGTCACAGTTTGTCGGTGGTTCAAATTGTGCGTTGCGGTGCTCGGAGGCTGGAACTGGAACCTGATGGTGGTTGGGGAATATTTGTGATGTAGGATGGAGAGTTTGCGATGTTGTACAGTGTGCAGTAACGCGCCGAGCAGGCGTAACCTAGGATATTCTGCTTTTAACCAGTCAATGATTTCGTACCGATGCGTTACATGTTCATCGCAGAACGTGTCCCAGAAATGAACCGCACGCATAACTTCGTTACCCTATTTAGTATAGTGATTTGTTGGATGGCCGTTAGAACAGCGCAACAGTAATCAAAGAACGGGAAGAGTAGGGTAGATGTCAGTTTTTGCTCTTAGTGAAGCCGAGAAAGAGAGGGGGAGGGAAGAGTTGGAGAAGTGTTCCTTCGTAAGTATTCATCCAAATCCTCACAAAATTGTACGAACAAGCGAACGTTGTTTAAATAATATAATCAACCCCGAAGACTTGGATCGGAACTCGATAAGCAAACGCGTGATTTAATTACTACTTCAATGAATGTGAATTTGCGAAGCAACCGCGAAACTTTGCGAGCTTTCGAGCACGCTGACGACGAAACGGACAGGAGACTGAGCGATCGTACGTTAAGGCGGATCGTGCGTTGCCGAAGAAATAACCGGACCGACGCGTCCCGGCTGTCTAAGAAGTCCCCGCCGCGAAACTTCGCCAATCTCCGTACCCGGCGAAACTCGGTCGAAGTTTCCCGATCATCGATACAGCTTACGTTGACATCGACACGCTCTTCTTGCCGTCGGAACTCGATCGCGCCGTTTTTGCCGCGACGAACGAGGCGGTGCAATTAGTAATGCGTCATTACGCTCGCTTTTCGAGGGTCATCCGATTCTTTAAATAGAGGATGTGTGCGGGCGTTGTAAGAGGCCACGCGAATAAACCGAAGGTTCACACAGGCTTGACAAGGTACCTCGGCTTTCATCGTGATCTCAGCTGAACTGTATTTTCCATCGTTATTTTTGTTCTTGTTAAACGGCAAAGTATTACGCAAGTTCTCCGGGGCCTGCGGAGTTACGTAAGACCGTAACGTCGCTCCGGGAGCTTTCCGTGAAACGACAATGTCGAGCGACGCATCTCTCTCGGGCGAACTTAATGAAGCTCCATCGACGAAACTGTAATTACCACAACAGTTCTTCGCGACGGGCTTTCGTGTCCGATGTTTATGCGCCGATATTACCGCCAATGAAACGGCTCTCTCGATTTACGTGTCGCGAAGCGCCGTAGCCTCGATCGAACAATGCGCGCCACCGGAAATAGCAATCCCCGTTTGTCGGGCGGGTTTGTTCGAACGGAAATTGTTCCTTTATCGCGAGCAAGCCACGCATCGGATATCTAAAGAGCAGCCGACAACGTGTACACGGAAAATGTTGTAAAAAAGAAGAGATAAGGGAGAAAAGAGTGAACGCTTTCGCGCGTTGAAACGCTTCAATTTGTGTGTACAGGTGGTAAATAAACCGCGGCAAATTGCCCCGATAGTTAGCCTTAACGCCGCTCGAACTCAACGTCTTCTCTATTCCCTTTAGAATGATATATCGGTCACGTTGAGGTTTGCACGAACGTTAAGTAAACAGTAATTCGCCGTGTCGACGCATTTACGGCGCAATTACCGGTGCGCCGAGAGAGGAAGCCGAGAGTCAGAGACGAAGCGAGCCGAACCGTCGGCAAAAATGAACGAATGAATGAATAAATGAATGAGACGAGGGTCCCGCTTTCCACGCGACGTAAAAATCTGGCGGCAGACATAATAAAAGTAAGAGGGTCTTAGATACACCAGTCTCGTTGAATCCGCGCGGAGCGTGACCGAACGGCGATCGATTATGCAACGGACAGAGAGTCGCCGGGCAATAAAATATGTCACGCTGTGACCGATTGCGCAACACCGAGCGCGACGAGCGGATCGAAGGAAATCCTTGGCGAGGGTTTGGCCGTGCTCGCTCGCTCGGCCGGCCGGACGAGAAGGACGCAGGGCGCAGCCCACGAAGGACGAAGATGGAAGACGCGGACCGCGGAAACGTGGGCTTGGCACCTTCGGGGCATGACGGGGCGCACCCATCGCGCGTATTAACGTGGCGAATAACGCCAGCCCGTCTCTTTCGCCCATCGGCTGAAAGCTACGTTTTCCCCTCCGAGGGAAAATTACTTGAACATTTATTTCTGAGACACTTGATCTCACGGAAAATCAAGTCGATCTTATTTCCGTGAAATCTTATATCCCCGACGAATAAAATTGTAAGTGCTATTTTCCCAGTCTAATTCACCGCCGGCGAAAAACGCGCCGTGCAATTTCCCCGGAAAGGTGCGCCCACGCTTCTGTTTCCCTGTTACACACCGTCAATTTTGATTCCGATCGAGGAGATGCTATATTTGAAGGAAACAATATATTTGAACCGATGAAATATTCACTTCTTTCTGTGATGTTCGTATCGCTTGTGCGTAATTACGAATGCTTTTGCGCGGTAAAGGTAAGCACGAAGATGAATTGGAGTTTCGCTCAGTGTGTGACGGAAACGATTAAAAACGTCAAAATCTCCAGCCGTCGGTTGGCGTAAATATTTACCTGGTGTAGAAATCCTGCAGCTTGAACGTATCGGATATGTCGATGTTCCAATGAGAAAAATCTCAAAATAACATTTTCATATTTTTTCCGATTGAAATGTCTGAGAAAAAGATCTGACAAATTTGAGGACAAATTTTTACATATCTCGATTAGATTGCCCGTTAGATTGGTAAAAGAAAGTAGTGCCGATTCGTCGCATTCACTGTACAGAAGACTCCATTAATGCGCAGTCTTACTTCCTAGGCGTGACATTGAACAATTTCCAGTCATGCGTATTACGTCCGAATATTCGTCGTGCTTCATGACTGTTGATTATTCGGTAAACCGGCAAGATACTCCAAAGCCATGATGCACGAATATTCAGAAATGATGCGCTTGATTGGAAATGTTGGATCGATGTCACCATGCCTAGAGAGTAGGACTAACATAATGGAGTCTTGTGTACAGTCGGCGTCTCATGTATGCTGTATCGTTTCCTAGATTGAAATTTATTATTACACGACTTATAGTACTTTCGCATATATACATAAAGTTGGCTGAAACCCTTTTAATTAGAACCCTTATCACCGTTACAACTAGAGTAACTTCTGCGATTTTCAATATTATGCTTTTATATATGAGGCTAAAAATCGTGTAAAAGATAGAAAAAAGTAGCGTGACTGTGTCAATGTTAACGTGATACAGCGTTTCGCCTTCGTGTTATCGATGCTCGTCAAGTTCACCTACGATTTTGGCCTTCTCTCAACGAAGAGACTTTTGTTTATGAATTAATCGCTACGACCCCCGCGAGTCTTCCGCTCGTTGGAAATATCACGGGATTACGCGAGTGTGCCTGTGGCTGCTAACTAACCCGGCTTTCAATTTCTAGCCTCCGTTTCTGCGCGCCGGTCTAAAGCCCGCGTAATTCCCTTCGATCCAATTACGCAATTAACGTGATATATTTTATCGCCGCCGCGCGCTCGATTCGCGTTGCGTAACCGCAAGGTTACAGCGCCGCGATGTTCCCGTTGCGGTGTGATTCCTTTCCTTTGTTTCCTCACTTCTTCCGCAGCCACCGCTGCACATCTTCCTTCATTCCGGACGCGCTTCCGCGTTCAGATCGGCGCGCTATGAGCGTCGCCGAATTAACGTCGCCGAGCTGTTAAGGCGCGAGGGCGGTTCGCTCGAAAGAAAGAAAGAGGGGAAGGGAGATAAAATAAAAATCCGTCACTTCCGGATCCCATGCGGCGCACGTGTGTCCGACCGGCGTGACGCAATGAAAAGTGTGGAAAATAGATGGGTGCGCTCGCGCGACAGTCACTCCGCCGGCATTGTGTACTCGGAAGGAAGTCCAGCTCGGAAGCGGCGCTATTCATGAATTCCGAGGGGATTCTAGGGGGGACGTGCGCACGTACCTCTCTCTCTCTCTCCCCGTATGCGTTCGCTAATGCGGCCTACACTTGCGTGTCTCCTCCGTAGGCGCGCGTATCCGACGGTCTCGGGCGGTTTTCGGAGAAAAATAGCTCCGCTTCGCACGATTTTGACCGAAGTTGTATCCCCGGGAGGCGCGAGCTACGGCGTACCTGGGCAGCCGGGGGATGCTGCCGGTCGCATTCCGCGCTCGGCGAAATTTTCGTGGCGATCGTAGATTGACGAGAGGACGGCGGAATGGAATTTTCGCTCCACCGCTCTGCACATCGATCGTGCACGTGTGTGCGGATTCACCTGGGGAGCCTCGGAACGGGGAGGTGCGGGGAGTGTAGGTGCCGACGAAAACACGTGACTGTCCGCACGCAGGCGGGTGGGGAAACGAGTGCGTTTCGTGGGTGGCCGGTCCCCGTTCCTGTGCTCAGTGTATAATCGCGATTCACGAACCTTGCAGGTCGTGCCGCTGATTTCAGCGGGTGGTTGACGTTTAACATGAGCGTCGTCGTCGGGATTCTCGCCTAAATTTAACGCGCTCTCTCTCTTTTTCGTGCGTGCCTCGCGTGCGCGGCTGCTTGTCGCCCGTGTGCACGATGTCCGATTCCGCGCCGATCGGCCGATAGCGCGGCAGACTTGGTTTTCGCCGGGGACGTGCTGGGGGAAAATCCACGACGAGCATCGACGGCACCACGTATCGCCGAGGTTTCACCATTCTTTTCAGCAACTTCTTTTGAGTAACCGATATCACGATTTTCGCCCGCGATTTTCGCCGCACGATTCTTAATTTCGCGCGAGTAAGCCGGAGAACACCGCAACCGACGAACCCTTTCTTTCAGATGACACAAAAGCCGACCAGAGCTACGTCAATCGTCAGAACGGTGCTCTGAAGAATTGTCCGAGCGAACAACGAAGCGACGTTAAGAAAGGTAAGAGTCCTCGGTATCGACGAAAGGCGAATATGTACTTGGAATGCTGGACTGGACCACGCTTATTTGCATGATCGCTGGAACACTGTATACACGCGGTTCTTTTTCGTTCTATTTATCTCTCTCTCTCTCTCTCTCTCTCACTTTTCTTTTTGTCTTCTTTTCATCAAGACTTATCCTACGATTGCGATTGTCCGAGGCGATCTTTCTAAAAGCCTCTCGAATCGTGTCGCGTAGGGAAGATGCCGGGCGCAGAGTAAGGAAAGTGTATTACGCTGAAAGTAGCCGCGATGAAAGTGCCGACGGTGTAGAAGGCAGTTGTCGCGTCGTTTACACCCGAGGATTCATTCAAGATGCTCGCCGGATGTTCAAATATGTCGTCGAGCAGTCGTTCCGAAGGAAAAAATAGAAGTAAATAAGCGAAAAATATATCATCGTACCTTTGGTCTACTTAGATAAAAATTCCAAGAGATTGTTTCAAACGCGATATCTTCTCCGTTCTGTTCATTTTAATAATCCTCTTTGCCTCGTAGTCAAACCCGAGCCCGATTCGCGGGAGGACTCGCAATTCCCCGCGAAATGCGGCGTAACTGGCGAGTAACGCTCTCTTAATTCACCGAGAAACTTTGCAATCCCGTCGTTCGTTCTCCACCGCGGGAAATCCAACGAGGATCGCGGAAAACGAGCCCGTTCTCACCAAACGCGAAAATAAGCGTCGAACAAGCGCGCTGAGAAAGATCCCCGAGTGGGGAAACGTGTAGCAAATATCAGGTAGAGACGGGGGGGGGGGGNGGGAGAAATCGAGTGTCTCTTTCCGGGAGACAGAGCTCACAGAAAGCGTTTCCGCGAAGGAATCCTCCCTGGGCGAGCGGGAAGGGCTGCGGAAAAACTGCTCGGGTGTGCGAGAGAATTTCCTCTCCACGAATTCGCACGATACCGTAGGACGTCGCGATCCGCCGACGGATTACGGCGGGATGCCGCAGGGGAGCGCGCGTAACCGCGGCCGCAGGTGCCGGAACCGCCGTCGGGCGCAGCGGCCGCTCGCTGAATCGCATGACGGCGAACGACGGAAGAAACCGGAGGGAATTCCGGCGAAGGCCGACAACAACGACGAGGAGGAGAGGAGAAGAGAAGCCTCGAAGACGAGCTTGGCCGCGGCCAAGCACCGCTTCTTCCGGCCGGACGAGAGACGCAGGATCGAGAAGGTCGAGCTGCGATCGTGCGGGCCGAGGATAGTCGAGATCACGACCGTCAGCAGTTTGCCCCTCGAGGCTACGATCGGCCACATCGCCGGGGTGGGCATCCTGGAGACGGGAATCGGCGACAGGACGACGACGAAGGATTCGCCGATAATAACGATATCAGAGCCGGTGGAGGCGTTGGCCGGTACGAAGCGAAGCTCGCGCGAGGACGACGAGTGGACGAGTCGGTTGGAGATTCGCGAGGTCAGCGACAGCGACGCGGAGGTCGAGTGCGGTCGACCGACGATCGTCGAGGTCGAGTCCGACGATCATCCGCTCGATCACGGGGCAGCGAGGGGTCAGTTCGTGCCGCAGAAGAAGTCGGAGTCGCCGACTCTGATGTGGGACACGGTGATGCCGCGGGAGGTCGAGAGGAAGCTGCGGAATTTCATCGAGGGCCTGCAGCTGCCGAGCTTCTCCGAGGAGATCACCGAGGAGGACGGCGGCTCCTCGGAGAAGCTGTCCCGTCAGGCGACGGTGGAGGACAGATCCTCGGAGAAGGTGGCCGGCACGTCGCGTCGGAAGACGAGGAAACGCGCCGTCTCGGAGTCTCACTTCGCCAGCCTCCTGGAGATCATACAGGAGGAGGGCGAGAGGCTGTCGGAAGACGAGGCGCAGCACATTAGGGACTTCATCAACGAGGAGATCAGCAAGTACCGGCGCGAGGACAGGCGATCCGCCGAGAGGAACGGCGCCCCGGTGAAAAGAGACGAGAAGGTCTGCGAGATGCCCACGTGCGACGTCACGATCAGCGTCGACGCGTCGGCGTGCGCGGCGAGCGAGGAATCCGCTGGGAATAACGTCGGCTCCGAAGCGACGCACTCGCCGAGCAACGCGTCGTCCGCGGCGATTACGAGGAACGAGGGCCTCATCGACAGGAAAATGGACGTTCTGCCGAGCGAGGCTGTGAGCGAGGAGCGGGGCGAATCAGCGGCGAGCGGTAAGCCGGAAGACGTCAATAATAACGCGAGCATAGGAAACAACGCGACGATGGAGCGCGATGAATCATCGCGCATCGAAACGGTGAGGGGATCGAAGGAACGCGATTCCGTCGGGACGCCACGAGGACGCGAGCAGCGGCTCGTCTCGTGCCCGTCGCGAGAGAAGCGACCGCCGCTTCCTCCAAAGAGGTCGTCCAGTTTCGGCCACGAGCCGCAGAGACCGCCGACGCCACCTGAAATAGACTACGCGTCGAGCGGTGCGAACATTCGCCGAGCGCTCGGCGCGGATTTACTCGCGCGGAAGCGCGAGATCGGGGACGAGAAGACGGCTGTCTCTCGTCCTTCGGACGTCCGGCCCGACGAGGCTCGCGAAACTTTGCGAAACCGCGCGAACCGGCTCGGCGCGCCAACCAGCGGGAATGTCGAGGCTCCGGGTGGCTCATCGATCGCGTCATCGGGTATTCGCGACGGTGATCCGTCGCGCGACGTCGGGACGCTCGGCGTCGCGCTGGCAAGCGCGACCAGCACGGAAATAACGCGTCGCGAGGAAGGGAAGCCCGCGACGGCCGTTGTTGCACGCCCGCCGACACGAGACGCTCCGTCGTCGAGGCGACGGCAGGCCGGCGGTCCTTTGGCTAAGGACGATCCCGGGACTCCGAAGATTGGCAAGATGGCCGCTGATAAGTCGGACGCGACTCCTTCGCCGGGTGACGACTCGACGAAGAGTAGCGAGCGGAAGCCCGGAGGAGGGCACGTCGGCGAGGAGTCGACGTCGAGCTACCATCGCGAGCGGACGGTGAAGAAGAGCGAGATGTCGGAGACGCGGGTAGTTGAGCGACGCGAGGAGAGCTCGGGTGCCGAGGATGGCCCTCGTAACTCCGAGTGTTCGACGTGGGAGTCGAGGCGCGAGGAGAGGCGCGAGGAGAGGTACGAGGAGAAGCGCGAAGAAACGCGCGGCTTCCGCCGGTCCGACGACGAAGCGAGCTCCCCGGGTGCACCGGACCTCCAAGGACACGACTCGTCGAGCAGCACCGCGTCCTTCAGCACCGTGAAACGCTGTCCGACGGAAGCTTCGTTGACCGACATCAACGCGATCGGGGACTGCGGTTCCCGGGAAGAGTCCTTCGTCCCTTACTCGCCCGTGGAGGGTCTCCAAGGCCCGAGAGCGTGCGAACGAGTCTCCGAGGACTCGTCACTCCGCACGACCGACCGGCCGTCTTCCTTGCGGGAGCTCTGCGTGAAGAAGATCCTCTCGATGCCGTTCGGGCCGCAGGTGATCAGCGAGATCACCACGCCGCGGCTCAACATCTTCGAGAGTCTGCGGGCCCTGCAGAGGTTTGTGAGTAACGCTCGCGATAACGCCCGATTAAACCCGCATGGAGTGGTGACTGACCCGGCCGGACTAACGAAAGCGCCGACCTCGGGAGATGAGCCTAACGAACACGCTGTTTCAGAGCTAAGGGCTAAGTCGTCGGTTAATATTGAGACTCCTTTGTCAGACATGGAGCGCCATTGGAGAGGTCTCTCCACGTCGGAGGACCCGAGACTGCTGGTCTGCCTGTCGCCGTCGCAGCAGCAGGCGACGTCGGTGCGCACCAGCGCCGACACCTTGCTGGACCTCCACCGGAAGTTCTTGAATCGGCACAGCTATCGCGACGAACAGCCGCAGTGCGTTCCTCTGCCGCAGTACCGGGTGCAGCTCCTCCCGATGAGGGACGACGACGCGCCCAGGCCACCCGCTCGTGCTGTTCGTCGCGGCGGACCGAGCAACAGGCTGCTGGAGATCATCAAGGAGCACTCTCCGGCGTCCCGAGACGGTGCGGAACGTCCATCGTCTGAGAGAACGGACGAGTCCTCGGACCGTTGGTGCGCTTTCGGGGGTCAAGAGCGTCGCAAGGCCTCGAATCTCGCCGATTGCCGAAGCGCCGCCGCGAACGAGTTATTCTTGGCGGCGGCGAGGGGCGAGGGTGGACGCGACGATAAGCCGAGTCACGTGGCCCGAGGAGATCAGTCTAGGATTGCGACACGGTGCACCGCCGGACATCGGCCATCGGGCGACGCTGCTGTGATAGCCCGCGATTCGAACAGCGCCCCGGACGCCGGCAAGAAGACTCGGAGGGCCGCCGAGCTCGGTCGGCACGTGAACCCGGCGCTGATCGACGACAAGCTGGAGGTGCCGCCGTTGCCGAAGCGCACGGTCACGGTGGACCGGTCCTGCATCGACACCACGAGCATCTTCGATCGGAACCCGCCGAGGAGCCACTTGGAGCCACGGAGGGCTCGCGAGACGGCGGAGAGTCTGAAGCACGTGGCGGCCGCGGAGATCATGGATCAGCTGAAGAACCTGCGGCTGGACGGCGGCAGGAGGGCCTCTTTGCCGCAGGAGTGCTTCACGCACCAGCTCAAGTATATCGAGCTGCTGGAGGAGCAGCTGAAGAACGTGATATTGGCGGAGGAGGAGGAGCTGCAGACGCGACAATGCGAGGACGTGAAGGGCCGCAGCGATATTCCTGAGGAGGTGCCGAGGAAGACCCGCGTGACTTTCGCACGCGACGGGACGACGGAATGCGCGAGGGACACCTGCCGGAGTGAGCCGGAAGTGCAGGCGGAGAGCTGGCGGGAGAAATCGCGGAACGTGGAGAACGATCGCACGGAGACGATCGACGAAGCGGGCAGTCGCCGGTTCAGGAAGGTGCGCCACGAGAACGGTGCGCGCGAGGAGGAGTCCTCGGAGAGCATCGAGCGTAAGGAGTGTCGCGTGATCATCGGGGAACCGGGGAAGAACGAGCGTAGCGCGAAAACCCCGACGACGAGCGCATCCACCGAAACGCGGCCGAGCGTCCTCAAGGACGTCCGGACGAAGAGATCGCTACCGACCAACGGGGAAGTGTTTCGCCAACGAATGTACGACGAGTACGTGCACAAGGTGCTGGAGCGGCAAGAGCGGAAGAACCACAAGGTCGTGAAGATCAGCTCTCACGAGGACATCCGCAAGGTGGACGGCAAGTCGAGCGACATGAGCGCCATGGCGAAGGAGTTCATCGAGAAGGCGCGCAGCCGGCTGAATAAGTTCGGGATCAACTTTGACGGGACGGAACGCGAAGAGGAGGAGGAGGAGGAGCAACGCCGGGAGGACGGCGTGGTGATCAGGGCCAAGTGCCTGATCGATGGCGAGGAGCTCGAGGACGCTCGGAAGCTGCCGAAACATCTGCGGGAGTTCCTGAAGATCTCCAGCGAGGAGGACGGCGAGGGCGGTGAGTTACGGCGAATGGGCGATGGATTGCTGTGTTGCTCGTCGTGTTGCGAGATTGATGCCGATGGTTGATGGCTGCTCGAGATGGCTGCCCCCGCCCGAGGATCTCCCGACGAGGCGACCCTTGTAACAACCACTAACGTAGCGCGCGCGCGCCTCCCGACCCGTTCGTAGGTGCCTATTGTTTGTCGTCACTAACGATGTTGATGGTATTATGATTAATTGTCCACCTATCCACACCTGGTGCCGACGACACCCAGAAGAGAGAGACTGCTAAGCGGACGGACGAGAGTTCTCCGTTTACCCCGGCTGCTGCTCCCGGCATTGGCCGATCGATCTTCGCGTTGGAACCGAGATCGACGCGAGACGTACGCGGAAAATTGTATATTTGTGGGGGTTACGAACCAAGGAAGGATAGATCGGTCTTGAAAGACTAATCGTGACTATTGTAGCGATGTGATATTTTTAATTTTGTCGGAAGATATAAATGTTTAACGTGTGATGACGCATATACCGGAGAAACGTGAGCACGGTGAATCCACTTTTCACGTTAACCCTGAGAGTGACAACACGATCTTGATATTAATGGTAACATCATAGGCCTTTCAGGCCTACGTTATAAAAATTGGTAAAAATAAATTTTTTTGCATTTTTGTCTTTTATGAATTATTAAGTTTACTATCAACTTTTATTTACTGTCTTTGTAGACTGGCGAGGGGAGGGGGTCGTCGCCAGGGAATCAGTTATTTTATTGAATCAGGCTGATAATAGCGGTATTTGCAACTCTTTCTTTCCGAGGGACAGGAACGGCTTCTTGCGAAAAATATGAGAAGGAGAATGAGCAGAAGGAAACGTGTGGGTCTAACATTACCGTTGGAATTGGACGAATCCCGAGTCTCAATTATCGTTTTCATATACAAGAGACCCCCTCAACTTTTCTCAAATTTCGACTAAATTGAAATACCACATATCGAATCCGTGTATCGCGAAATATATCCTCCCGAATATTTTCAAAATACTTACACTATCGCTACAACAATTGCGATTAAGCTCCTGAAGATAATCGCGAGCGGTAATTTCGCGCGAGCGTACTGACGGCTGCGCTTGTTAATTCGACAAGACCGTGATTGAAATAGTTGGGCTTTTCCGGAAGATCGAGCATTTCCCTCGTCTTCGACGAGCGCGGCGTTCTCGTTGGATCCCACCTCGACCGTCGACGTAAACAAACTTTCTTAATGACGGCGACACGCGGCAACGTCGAAACGGAAATCTCATTACTGTCTCAAGTACGTTTTCGCAGACAACTCCGCGAGGGCGAAATTAATTCCCGGCGATAAATAGGGGAGAAAGAGAGAGAGCAACGCGGATCTATTCGCACAGGTCGACATATGCGCGGACCCGGATCGTTTCAATTCCGTAATCCGATTAATATCTAATATTGCGCGTCGGGTGCGAAATCGTCTCGCAAATGCAAACAATAAATCTCATTGTAAACGCGAGGCGCGACGAATGCGCGACGGATGCGCATGCGTGCGAGCGAGCGAGCGAGCTTACGATTAGCGCGACGTTCATAAATACGGCGTATTTACGTGCATTTTTAATTAACGAGCGCTCGTCCGCGCGTGGAGTTTCGCGTCGCGGAGCGCAAAATGCAGTTTAACATTTCACAGCGCGCAAACGCGCGATATTTCGGCATTTATTCGTCTGCGGCGATCGACCGGTCGGAGCGATGGAAAATTATTGTATTAACATTTCAAGCTTCTTCCGCGCTCGGGTTTCGCGCGGGAGCGTATAATGAACCGCGACAATTTACGCGATAACGAATATCAACACGGAGAGAGGCTCAAAGGCTATCAGTGTTGCGTCACGTTGTCGTTCGCGTTTTTGGCTCCCTCTCTCTCTCTCTCTCTTCCTCCTTCTCGCGCCGATTAGTTACGGAATATTTCATCTCGGATCGTCGTCACGGAGTGATTCAACGTCTTTCTCGTAATCTCCGCGCGTCCCCATTAAAATCCACGATTCACGCGGCACCGTTCTCGTTCAGACTCCGGGAGCGGGCGAAAATTCTACCCGATGCGATCAAGTTCCACCAAACATCTATCCCGATAACGCGACCTATCCGTCAGGTGATACCATAACTGCAGGGGGAGGGATGGAGAGCAGCGGCGATCGCGGCTCATTTTTCCGCGTCTCGCAATCGTCACGATAGAGCCGTCGCGCGTTGTAGCTCTCGTGATTCATTCGAGGATGTAAATCTAAATATAAGCCCCCCCGGCGAGAAATAGGCCACCGCCTCGTCCGACTAGCATCTCGGCTAGCGCCGGAACCACCGTCTTGTTTTCGGCTATTTCGAAGCGATACCGTGGCCTACTGGCCTGCTCGTCCGCGCATCCCGAAATTACTCTCGCGTCGTCCGAGAGATTTTTACCCGCTGAACTGCCGTGCTCGAGCTGTCGATGATAACGGAGTCAGAGAGAGAGAGAGGAGGGCTTAGACTCCGGTCAAACTTCTCGTTATCCCGAGAATTATGACCCGCTCTCTTTTAAGAGCTCATCGGGGAATCTGTATCGCTTTCGATGCTCTCGAAGTGGTTAATCCACGTGCGAATCGTAATCGGACCTCATATACTCACCTGTCGTAAATCCGACAACGGTGGAATCGATCATCCAGCTATTTCACCTGAAATTCGCTTCTTCTCATCGCGCCATATTTCATCGCACGGCCGATTTTTTCCCATCCGTTGCTTGCTTCGCTTGTTTGCGGATAATGCGTTATACCGGAGCTGTGCAAATAGATCGCGAAACTGCAGCGGGAGCACGTGTCTCACGTGTCGCACGTTCCGACGATTAACGTCAGCGCGAAGCGAGATTTTTTGTTCTTTTCTCTCCCGGCAGATACGATTATACGTGATAATTGAAGTTTGATATATACGTCACGCCTGATGTCACATTGTTAAGCTCTCACGTTGTCATTTTGCCAAGCGTGCGCTCGCCTTATTATTATTATTAACTCACTAGGGTTATTTGTATTTCGTAAGTCGCGTGAACCTTTCAACGCGGTTACCGAAGAGTCCGTTTATTTTCTATTCTAAGTTTAGCACGAAAGTTTAGCCACAGCGCGCGTTCCGCCGGAGCTGTATGCGCGAATTTAGATATCCGCCGATCCCTTCGCCAGCTCGTGTATCGATCGACGAATTAACCCCTCTTTTTGCGAGCGAAGGAAAAAATGAAGGAAACCGGAATAGGAACGTTGAATTACTCGGAAACCGTGAAAACCGCTCTCTTCGTTTTCAATTCTAACGTCTCTCTTCTCTCTCTCTCGCTAACCAATTTGCCATTATGCTCGAACTTAATTCATCGCACCGTCTTTTCTTTTTCTTTCTTTTTTTGGTGGATGTGGGCATGCTTTTTTAATCAAAGGGAGTGGCCGCGATGTCGCTGCAAAGGGAAGAGACGGCGATCTGCTGCACGAGATTGACAAAGCTTTGAGAATCGGCCGGGGATTTCTACTTGAGCAAGGTGCGTTCGCAATTCCGCTTGATCACTGATAGCATGCATTACAATAGTAATACTGTAAATAGAGATGATCTTCGGAAGCTTTGTGACCGGTAATCATGTAACATAATTAGCGTGGTAACGCATATATCTCGAAAGGGAATCGTCGAGAGGCCGTGGTTAAATTTCGAGATGCTCCGCTCAGAGCAATTAGGAGAATTGCACCGAATAAATCGCTCTAATGGTAAATATATATATATATATATATATTTATTACCATTAAATTGTATTACCGTTAGACTGTTTGATCCGAGCCACAGAATCACCTTCAACAGAGCGATTTATTCGGTGCAATTCTCCTAATATATATATGAAATATACAGAGACGTTTACGATTGGGATTAGATCCTAGAGAAGTGCTGGCGGCGGTAGAAACATTTGATATACAAGCGTTTGATAAAGCGATTGTATGAGCGGCGCGTATATATATACTCGGCAATGTTGGTTGGCGGTGTACTGGAAATTGTGTGCAGAACGACGTCGGCGTAGTGAGCGTCGCGCGCGGCGCGGCGCCGAGCCTCGTCGGCGTCCCGACGCCTCAGTCGGTTGGCACCTACCGTACTTTCCCGAGAGGCTGTTCCACGTCGTAACGCGAAATCGTCGTGTCGTGGCGGAGAAAAGGCAGGAAAGGGGAATAAAGAACGGAGAGAGATAGAAGCGTTATAAGCTCGCGAAGTGACGATGTTGGAGAAAAGTGAGTGATCGCTGCGGGTCCGTCGACGTATCGTCGAGCAAAAGCGTGCGACGAAATCAGCAAAGTAGGCGTTCGGGGGAGATTGCCTCAACAGGTAGTTCCTCGCGACCGCGAAGACGATCGACACCTCCCGTTATCCTCTCGAAGGAAATCTCCTCGAACGACGACGGATTTCCGCGGGATCGACGGGGAAATCTCGAACAACGCGCGCGCGCGCGCGGGGCTGTTCAAGTGGCGGCGGAGAGAGAGAAGTCTATCCAGCGTAAAGCGAATTCTATTTAAAAACGGCATGTCGCGGTGAAAAGCATCAAAATTTCATCGGAGATTGATCGAGCTTTAGCGGCAGCGTCCGGTTGCAGTGATTGCTAATGGAAATCGGCTTTCCAAACGCCGCGCGCTGGTACGCTCAGACTGGCCGAGGAATAAGGCGTCTCTTTGTCCTTCTATTTGCGCCTGTCTCGTAACAGCTCATCAAGATCGCTTTTATATTAATGAATCGCGGCGGTCTCATCGTGAAAATAACTCTGAAGAGCACTCGAGACGGACGCGACGTATAATCGAGGTGGGGGGAGTGTTGACGTTGACCCGTTATAAACATCGAGGTGTCCCGCGTTGGGTTTCGAAGAGTTCTTCTTTGAAAAGAGAGGGAGGAAAATATCGCACATGTGATGTCACTTTGATGTTATCGGTGAATTTTCGCGATATTTCAGTGAACATCGTTATTTAAGTACGGGAGAATGTAATATCTTCGGAACGGCGAGACACGCTGTTTGACAAAATGTTGTTTGATGCTTTCAGAGAACGTTATGTTCGCCCCTACGTTTAAAGCCTCGTCAGCGAAACCAGGTAAACCTGTGCGAAGAGACGTATGTGTACCTCTGTGTGTGTGTGTGTATCTCTCTCTCTAACGGAGTATTTTCGTCATTACCGCGCGCTTCACGCGGACGTCTGAAAATACTATTTAATTATTCAATTATTCACCTCTCTGATAATTCGTTCACATTTTCGAATATTCCACGACAAAAATATTCCGTCGAAATCCCTCCGATTCAAGACACCTCTGTTGAAGGAGGCTTTCGTTGCTTAATCGACTTTTCGCTTCAATCTGTATTCGGTGACAAATTCGAGGACGCCGGGAAACGCTGCGAGGAAAGAACCGGAATTATTTGCTGAAAGTACTCGTCTCGGCCGTGTTAACAAAGAGTCGTTCCACGGGCGGTCGGTGTAATAAAATGAATTAAGTGTCGAGCGTTGGGTGTATTCGCGGGGGCCGCACGCGTGCGAACTCAGCAGAGAATTCGTAATTAAGTTCCGCGCGCGGTGTGCGTGCGATTCTCTACGTATGTGCGGTGTGTGCATGCATGCTAACGCGTGTCGTAATCTCGCGTTACAATCTATCACAGGCGTGCATTAATTTCGGCGGCGGTTCGAGAGTGTCGTCCTTGCGGTATTGATGTCCCTCCCCTCCTCACCTTCCCCGGAGCTCGAAGCGGCTAATTAGCGTGACCGTGTCAGTGTTACACGCGCGTTGTCGCCGCGTGATTCGCGAAAAACAATCACGACCTTTTCGACGTTTCGCGAATGCAGCTGGCGCAACGTTGATTAATCGCGCGTTTGCAATTAACGAGAATGTACACTGCCGTGCCGGCGGCGGCGCGACGATATCGTAAATTAATACGTGTAACGCGTGAATTATCGCGTAGCCCCGGATGGCGAGAGTTACGTGCGCGTTTAATCGCGAGGGGTCACTCGGGAGGGGCCGGAATTGTTTTCTTCGTGAAATTGCTCTCGGTCTCTCCCCCGCGTGTTCCGCGGTTACCGCTTGCAAATGCGCGCGTTTTGCGGCCGACCAAACTCTTGGCCGACACGATGTACACGGCGTTACACACACACATATACACACACGTGACGGCCGCCGAATTCGCGCGCCTAACATTCGCTAATAACGGCTGGTGTCGTGCGCAGCGAGTGTGCCGCTCCAGAAAACCGCGCTGCATTGTGTTCGAGTTGGGGCCAATTGCAATTACGCGTGTCTTAATAGAGCCCGGCCGCCCGCGCGCTTCTAATTTTACCCGAATGAACCCACCTCTGATTTCCGTTGTCGCGCCGGCTCGAGCTGACCGGCAGATCCGACGAACGTATGCGCCTGACTCATCGCGTCGCCAATGTATCTTCATCGAATATCCTCATCCCCTCGGCTGATATCGGTTGACGACGGCTGCGACGACGAGGTCATTCGTCGATCGTTTCATTTACGTTAGCGCTATCCCGCGAGTTCCTTCTCTTTTTTTTTCTCACGCAGCCGTGACGAATTTCTTTTCCTTTTTTTTTACTAATTAACTATCTGCGCGCCGGTCGAAACGTCGCTAACGAACCCGAAGTGAGCTTGAACGCTCGTTAATTAAATCGTCGGGCGGAAAAACAGAGCCGGTGAAAAGCGTGTTGATAGTAAAAACAGCGCCGTCTGTATAAATATCTTTGAGCTTGTTTCACATGCCGATTTCACGTCCGCACGATGTACAGATTGGTGCGAACGCTGATACGAAAGCTTTATTATAGATCCACGTGAGAGCCGAAAGAACCGGCCTCGTGGGTCGGGCCGCTACTTATAGTTGTTGACGCGCGGCGTGGAAGCCGCGATGCAGGAAGTAGCACCGGGAAAAAGATGATCCCTTATGTAATGCGCCCTCGTGTGCCAAGATTAGCATCGCGCCGGTGTATACATTTGATACGTTAGCTTCACCGGCAAATCCGGCGAATCCGCGTGACCCAGCTGTTTCAGGAGCAAAGACCTTCTTCCCTGACGAAAGCTGGCTTCCCCTTCGCGTTATTCCGTGCATGTCGGCTGATCGATACATCTGGCGCGAAACGTGCTGTCGCCACGTGCGCGCGGCGTCTTTAGAAAGCCGACGAACGTCGCTCCGGGTTTCCGTCGCGCGACGAAACGCTGCCGTTATCTGACGATAACCACCACGTGCTTGAGTGCTGATTGATGGCGGAGGGCGCTTTCTCAAAAGCGATTTTTCCTTTGCCAGGCGTTTGGTCGCCAGGACAGACAACGGTCGCGAAGGAACCGAGTCCCGATCGTACGGGGGAGCCGCCGAAGGACGAGGCGATTCCGCCGGTCTGGACACCGGCCAGCGCCGGCGCGAGTCCCATCGCGGAGAGGAAGGAGTTTCGTCCTGTGCCGTTCGAGAGCCCCGTACTGAACCGGAGGAGGCAGCCCAAGGAAGAGGTACGTCGCTAATTACGCCGAGATGGCGGCTATTTGCCCAAACAACCGTCCCATTAGCTCGAAAAAGCTCTCTCCGTGTGAATCGGCCGAGCTTTTTAGCTAACGCGGGATTCGGCGTAAAAATCGCCGCTGTCTCTCGGCTAGAAAGAAAGAGAGACTCGCGTTTGCAGAACGCAACTTCTCTCCGATGACGATCTCACGCGAATTGTCTTCCACCGATCGTTCTCGGCTCTCCGACGAAAGGGCCGGCAAGTTCAAGGCTCACGCGAACTTCTTCGCAGGAGGCGACGCCGCCTTGGGAGGAGAGGAAGGAGAGCTCGCGAATCGTCAATTCGCACTCAGCGCCCGCCCAGGGCCTCAACATCCTCGCGTCCACGCCGCGCTTGCCACGCGCCCAGAATCCGACCATCACGTTGCTGCAGAAAGCGAGAGGTCAGCGTTCGCACCCTTCAGTTCGCTGCCGATCGATGAGTATACGGGAGCGGGAAATGATCGAGGGGACATTTAACGGGGAATTCTGTTACTCGTTTCGTTCAGTCGCAGAACATTCCCGCCGAATGACACAGCGTACTGATAGCGTGATTCACTAAACTTGTATCGCGCGGATGTACTCATACTGACGTTACAATTATGTGTCAGTAATAAACGGTTTGATTAGATATATCTTTAACCTGGTTGTGTATAAATTTATCACACGTGAGAGAAAATATGAGAAAAGTAAGAAATGTCTCACGTATGCATTTCCGACGCAGCTTGGATTGCGCGTTATTTCTAACGTCGGGGAAAAAATGTTATCTATTGTGTACGCGCGTCTATGAGAACAGCAGAAAGACGGAATGTTCGTGTCTATTAGCGTTGCTTTTCAACGTTTCTTTCAAGCTATGCAAATTACTGGCTGTCGTGAGCGCGTGCGATTAAAAGAAAGGGACGTTATAACGTTGCGCAAACAGACACTGCCTTGTTTCGACGTTAAAAGTACACCCTAACCGAGCAAGATTACTACGTTATTTTTTCGGGTCACGAATGACTTTTAAATTCTGTGATATTGAATAATTTCTGTAGAAAACACCTCGGCTCTTAATCGCTTTTCATCTTCGTTCGATTGCAAGAGCCTTTAAATTTATAATTCGTTGATAATTATTTGCGTCTTGGAAAAAAAATTCTCCGTAACGTTGCGCCACGATCGTGTTGCAGAGGGACAGTTGCCGAAAGGCGCGGCATATCTGGAGGAAAGCGAATCCACCGACAATCGACCCCCGAGCGACGAGAGGCCGCTGATCTCTCCCGGAGAAATACGTAAGTACACACAAGTAAACGATGAATTCGCAGTAGAAACGATCGAACGATATCACTTTGGTCGTCGTCGTCGCCTTCATAAAGCGCGAACCGACGATCGTACAGTTTCCGCGCGAAAGCCACCCGGTTATAAGTGTGTACCGAGCGGTCGGGAACTGCAGCGCAACCTTATCACTAACGCTCGCTAACTGTGGCTGTGATAACCGTCCTCAATAACGTACGTGTCTACCGATTGTGTACGCGAGTGCTAATGGCTTAAATGTGAAATTGAATTTCATCGTGAAATCGAACCCCGTTCAGTCTACACTGTGAAGAAGGAGTACGAGAGCGAGCCGGAAGCAGAGAATGAGCCGCCGAAGAAGATGGCCGATCTCGGCCCTCGAAAGTTCGAGGGGATCGGCCCGGTGACGAAGGAGGGTATCCCTCTCGTCCTGCGATCGGTAGGTGCATTCACGATTATTCAACTAACTTAAGACACCTTATTAATGATATCGTGTCGCGATAAGCGCGCTCTGGCGCGATTTCTATTGCACTTTAATCGCCGTTATGCGTCGGGAACGCGAGAAAGGAGGATTACTGCTCGGCGCCGTGATCTGCGATATTTTTCTCAGTATCTCTGACAAATTACTTTTAGGAAGTCAAGGAGAGCAATCAGGCGAAATGGTACAAGAGAATGTACGACTCGCTGCACCGCGCCGATCGAAACGGTAAGCTCTCGCCTGAATTACGCGTGCGTTCCTTCCGATGCGCGATATTTAGTTGATAAATAAACCGCGTTATTCGCGTCGTTTAATTAAGCCGTGTAAATTACGGGCTGTTGTGAACGCGCGCGCGGTTAAAAGAGGGGGGGAAACGTTGCGCAAATAAACGCGCGCTTTTTCTCCGGCAATAATGTTTACGTCCTCGGAAACGAAGCGATTTAATTAATTATTGCGTGTAACTCGACGATTTTGTTTCCAGATGACTACGTAACCATCCGTTACAAACCAAGAAGAGGTGAATATTGCACTTTCGCGCATGATTGTGGCGATTGGTCGAGCCACGCGATGTTGCTACTAATATTATACCGAGCGTGGGCGGGCTGCGTAACGCAGTCGTTTTAGCTGCAATTTATAATCGTTTACATAGTAACAGCGTAAAATGCACTAATATCTTATAATTAGCATTGCCGTGACGATGCGCGACTAATATCTGTAAGATAAGCGAATATAGATAGTCGCAAAATATTGTAACGATAGTTAACTTTCACTTCGCGCTCCCTCTCTCTCTCTCTCTCTCACCTCCCTTCTACCTCTTTTCTTTCTCTTTTTCTTCAGAGACTCCTTTTATGTGAATCAATGTACATTTAATCACGTGGACATGGCCTTTTGTGTAACGCAAAGTAACGACTGCCGAACGACGTTCGTCGCGTTTAACAGTCGTGTTAACCGCGTGTGAAAATATTAATAATAAAGCATACTTGCGATAAGCACGCACGAAGCGTGTTGCCTTATCTGATATTTAACGAAATTATTTAACGAAACAATTAACAACGCCGCTTACCTCCCCCTCTCTTTCCTCCTTTCGCGGCAGGATGTGTCCTTCACCCGGATTAACATCAGTGTGGATCGATTAACCGTTAATTCGTGATAATTGGAGTTAATTCGCGTCTCAACGCACAGACACTCGGATTAAACTCGTCCGGGGATCCGAGGATCCCGAAAGCGAGACGAGCTCTCGTCAAATACATCAAGCCAAGTCGGGACAAACTTCTCCCGAGTTGGCGCGGGTTGTCTTCCTCAGCGTGGGAACTTCCCGCGAGTTGACTTGAAGTTCTCATGTCCGATCTTTCAACAGCTTCGCCTTTGGACTTTCTTCCGTCTGGGCGTCGAGTCTCGATATTTTCGCGGGAAAAATTTAATCCGAACTTCTTAACTGTCGTTAAAAGTTCCTTTGACGAGTCGGGCGAAACCGAATGAAATCTTATTGGGAGAGAGGCTTTATCAGATTTTCATTATCGGCCGGGATTACCTCTGATCTCTCGATGCCGAAGAGCTTAAATAATCGGATCTCGCAGAGATAGACGGTACAATAAAATATGTGTGCACAACGTAATGTCCCACCAGTGTGGTAACTTCCTAGAGAGAATAAATCAGAATGTATGTTACTGTGAATCGTTTGTGCGGTGTTAATCGCACGTTTTGTGTGTGTATTTTTTTTTTTTTTATTAGCGCCCGATTTCCGCCCGGACCGGGCGAGAATTTGAATTGTAATCGACTCGAAGCGAAATGGCAAAAAAAAAGGCGACGCATTCCTGTTCCAGGTGGGAGATACGGATACGGAAGCGGCAGCGGATATTTGAGCGAACCGGAACCGCGCGCATACTCGGATCGATCCGTTACTCTCGATAGCCGGCGACGACTGCGCAACAAAGAAAATGATTTCACCACGGCGACTATGCCCAGAAAGTGAGCGAAAATTCAGAAACTTTCCCGTTCGTTTCTCCCCGGCCAGCCGGGGATCGTTTCTTCCGTTCTACCGATCTCCGCCTTTCGATTAATTAAATTTTGCGTTGGAGAGACGAGATAATCCGTGTCTCGTTAGGGCGACGGATGAAGTTTGCACGGAATCAAACACACCTATGACAAAGTAATCCGCGTTTCAATTTAGGAACGGGGCGCTGAGGTACTCGACGGAGATCTATAAAAATCAACCCGGCCGCATCGAGGACTATGAACCGGGGCACTCGTCGATCGCCGAGAAGGAAGCTAAAGAGGTACGCAGCTGCTATCGCTCGCCGTTGAGAGATTAGACAAGAAGACCTGCCTGTATCATAAATTGAAGCGCATTTTCCTATATCATCGAGAGAATCGACCATGAGACACCGCGTACAAGTCATCGACCTGTCGGCGGTGCGACGATCGATGAAAACGTCCCGCTATTATTCTTACTCTCCGGGGAAAATCGTAACTGTGAACGTACGAAATCCGCCCGTCTGGATTTCCATCGATTTCCCGTCAAGAGTGAGAATGATTTGCTCCGGTAGCCTCGGTTAACCAATCTTAATGGAACGGCGAGATATATGCAGCGGCGGAATCACGTTCTCCGCGATGTTTTGCCGAGAGCCTCTATCCCGGAACGTTGAAAGCAAAATGAAAGATTAGTTAACCATGGTTAACGCTATGATGGAGACGCGAGCCCAAAATCGTCTGATACACCGGCGTGCATTCGAGCATTCCTCGCGGCCGCTTCTCGTCGTCTCGAAATTGACCGAACGCGCGGCACGTTGCTCTATATCATTCGATACGGCCGATATTTCGCGCGTACGCGACAGTTACGGTGTAGTAAAAACTCGCGTGCACACGTGTATATTTATTATTCCCTCCTTTTTTTTTATTTTTCTTATCGCAACGAGAAAGAAAAAAAACGTGCGCGCGGCCGCGGCACACGCGATCTCTTTGTTTCTCTCTCTCTCTGCGCGACCCGAAAACAGTCAAACCCCGAAAGAAGCGTCTGAAACACACCTGGAACATGATCGTTTGAAATGGCTTTGCTTCTAGCCGACTTACGACGCGCGGACGAGAAGGAAGGTAATCACGTAATCGAGCGATTAAAACGTGCTTTGCCGGCCAATTATATACGTTTCCTCGTTTATTGAGAGCCTTTATGTTGGCGTTACACGATTAATTGAATTCATTGATTAATTCAAAGCTCTTGCTCTCTCTCTCTCTCTCTCTCTCTCTCTCACTTTTTCCACTATACTCTCTCGCCACCCACGAGGCGATTGTTGCGTTTCTTTGATAAAAACAAACACACATACACGCCAGTCAGCGCATATACACAGTCCTCAGGTGTATCAAGCACGCACGCGTGTGTTCAGGGCTCGCAGAGTCCCTCGAGAAAAGCGTGACTGCGAGAAAAATAATGGAGAGGCCATCTTGTTATGAGGCGCGATGCCGATCGCGCGCGCACACACTTCTCTCGGGACGCCCTGCGATCCCGCAAGTAGCACCAGACCCGTTGATTTTCACACGGCTTTTGTAGCGCTGCTTGTAGTCGATCCTATGTTCAGAAAATGACAACGCTGATTTCCATCTAAAATCGAGATGATCGCGCCAACGAGTCGCGCGTTCCACGGCGCGAGCCATTTCACGCGCATATCTTGCCGGCGGCATCTCTTGTTGTTTTAGATGGAAAACGGCGGCAGAATAATCGGACCAGCTGTCCGACCATCCCTTTTACGAATCTATAAATGTGCCACGGTAACCCCCTTTTAGACAGCGCATAGTATAACACTGTGTTTAATTCTGTGATTCTAGTGGTGGGACGAGGTCATGGACATATTTGACGGGGTACGCCATTTTTATATTAATGCGTAGTTAAATAAGAATCTCTCTTTCTCTCTCTTCCCTCACACACACACACACACCCATCACCTACTCCACTTACTCTTCTCCTCATTTTATTCTTTTATTTTTTATCATCACTGGTACTCTCTCTCTCTCTCTCTTCCCTACGTAGATCGTAAGACTCAATTAAAATTAACATTTCCCATTATTCCGGAATTAACCCGGTAGCGTCGACTCGAGGGGGATCTCGTGCGAAACTCTTGTAAAATATCTCGTTTCCATATAAATCTCCTCCATTTTTTCCCCTATCCCGGTAAATTAGTCGCAAAGTCCGGGGGAAAAAAAATGCGCATATTTTCACATTTTCGACGATCGAACGATCGAGAGAGGATTTCGGGTTCTTTTTCTCTTTCCCTTTGCCGGGTGGAATCGTGCATCACGAGCTTAACGGGATCATTAAATCTCAGGATGTATCGGCAATTCGATCTTTGCCACGCTCGCCGGTTATAAAGCGTTATAGCCGGCGGAGAACGGCGCTTTTTCACACGCGACTTGGTTAGTTAAACGCGTTAACTAACGGCGGCTCACCGCGCACCGATAATCGATGCCCTCCTATCCCTCCGCGCGCAACAGACGCATGCAATCCTCGGGATTTGCCGCAGACCTCGTGTCTGCAAATATCGCAGATTCTTGGCGAAGGGTTATATAACAGCCCGGTGATATCGGAGGCTCGAGTATCGTTGCGATGGGGGTACGCGCATCTCGTGTGTGCATCGCTCCCCGTGTGCGAACCTCGCGTGTAAATCCATGGCACGGTACCCGTATCTTACTAATTGCACCTAAAACCGCCTTCGGTCTTTTGAGCCCCCTCTGTATCATCGGTCGGTCATCCGGGTCGTCCGGCGGTGGTCCGCCACCCCGTCGTCCCTCTGTGTGCGTGTCGCGTGCTCGTCGTCGATGTTTGTGTCGTGTCCGCTCTTATATATGCACCCTACCGTTATCCACTCTTCCCCCGATGACGATGACAACGTAACAACGACGACGACGACGACCACGATGACGACCGCAATGTCGACGTGTTGCGGCTGTGAACGGTAGTGGCTGAACGAAAACGGACGTCCCCAGCACGCGCAGGCCAGGATGGAGTCCCTGCGTGGCATCCGGCAGTCCCGCGTCCTCAGCCTCTCCTACCGGCCGGAGAGCAGCCACAGTGTAAGGATACCGGCGATCAGCGGCACGAAAAGCTCCGAGGTCGGGGCGCGTCCGTTGGAAGGCTCGACCGATCGCTCGACCGATCGTCCGGCGCTCGGTCTCTCCAGGTCGACCGGCCGGTCCAAGCAGTCGTCGGCAGCCGACGCGACGTTCGATCGGTCGAACGAGGACACCGGCGGTCGTATCATCCGACCTCTGGAACGGACCGCCGACTCCTGCTATTGGCACGCCGCCGGCATGCTGGAGGGAAGATCCAAGAGCTTCGTGTTGCCGGATCGTTGCCCGCGCCGATCGCTCGCCGGCATCGAGCGTTCGACAGCCGCCGGTCGCTCGGTACCAGCCGCGATCGCCCCGGACTCGGCCGGCAACAGCGTCCATCGTCATCATCGCCATCATCATCATCACGAGCAGCAGCAGCAGCGTCACCATCATCATCGCCATCAGACCCACCAAGAACCATCGCAACTACGCCCAACGCTCTCTTCTTCTTCTACTTCTTCTTCTTTTTCCAGCACCGATCATATCATGCTACCACCATCACCGACAACACCCTCCGTTATCACCGCGCCGGCTTCACGGGTTAGAGGCTGCCACATCGTCGACAAGTAGAGTGCACGATGACGTTGTCCTCTATCTATCTATCTATCTATTTGTCTGTCTCCATCTGGCTGTCCAGCCATCATCACCTCGCTCTATATGCCTGTTTACACACATCTACATGTTGTTACTCGCATCGACGACACACCGACTACCACCCCACAGTTGGGGCCGACGAGAAGAATCGAGTTAGCGCTTTAGCCGTACATACACGGGAGTGACCTGGAGACGTCCCGAAGACACCGGGAAAACACACACACACAACGTGGCATGAGCGCAGCTTGTTTCGTTACCGAAGAAAGTGGAGGACCGACCGCCCGTGATGTCGATCGTTTCACTTTTCGTTGGCAATTAGTACACGACGACACACCGCTCTTCATCGACTCGTACGATCGTACTTCACCGACACATCTTGCATCTCGAGTTGTCATACCTGTCTCGACTCCCTCATACTCCGACACCGGCGTTACGTTAGATCTGTGTCGCGTCTCCCGCTGAATGACGCGTCGAGCCCCTCCTTGCCATGGCTTAGCATTAGACGCATGTTTTGATGTGCCTTGCGATCGCTCATCCGGAGAACAGCAGCTCTCTCGCGGCGGCGGTAGCGAGCCCCGTTAATCGTATCTTTCGTACACGCGCAGCATGACTCGCGAACGATAAGCTGCGATTACCGTCAACATCGGATGCTAACGACGTCTTCTTCTTCTTCTCCCTCTCTTTTCAGCCCTTTGACCAGCGCAACGCACGGGCCACGAAACCGTACATGACTCAGTAAGTACCGATTTCGTTTATCCGACGACGATACCGCCCTCCTCCTCTGACATTTTTCTCGTTCCAAAGTGCCCTCAAGGAGTCGGGCTACGAGAGCGACTCGACGCTGGTATTTCGCCGCAGGGAAGACATCAGTCCGCTCAGTCTCCTTGAGCAGAGACTGGCCTACAAGACGGTGCAGAGCGGTGGCGACGTACCCCTCCATGGGCTTCGCAAGCCGGCCCCGGAACGTCCGAAGGGTGAGTCCGCCGATCTTCTCGCTATGCGTTTTTCTCTTATTTTCATCTCCTTTTCACTTCTCATTCGTTCCCTCGACGCTATTCCTCCGGTTTAATCAGCACGCCCTGATTGATCGACCGTGTGATTGCAGTTTACTCAGCATGCGGGTGTATGTTTTTTTTACGGTTGCTCGTGCTTGCAATATGTGTGTTTTGTTAATTACTATCGTGTTCCACGATTTGCGCATGCGCCGTCTCGAAACCTCGAGTGATGCTGAACGACGATTTGAAACGCTGTCTACAATAACGTCGCGTGAATTGTCCGATCTCTCAATGGAATTTTCCGCGGGTACTCCTGTATAAGTCGTTCAATCGAAGGTATCCTCGATGTTTCGCGAGATTAGATAGAGCCGACGCAACCGTTTTCTCTCCGGAGATTCGTTAATTCTCACGACTCGCGGCGCTTCGACGAGCGTGAGACGTGTGAGTAGTGCGCTGTTTGACACACACACACACACAGCTTGATGTACGAAACGCCCGCGGAGACGATCGCATCGACACCCCGAGTGGGGTGCTGACTCCGTAATTAATTAGGCCGAGGCAAGGTGACGATGCGGTCACACAGTGAGTGTGCTCAAGTCTCGTCCGATAAGTGGGAAACTGTCGACACCCGGACAGACGGATGATAGCCTCCCGGCGCGAGATATATTCCTCTGGTATCGATTAATCGGCAACTTGTGCACACTGCGACGCATCGTTTCACCTTCGGCCGGAAACTTTGCCGACTGCGTCACAGCCAAGGCTGCGATCTAGACCGGACCGGGGAATCGATAATCGGAGTCAGTTATAACGGAGGGTGTCGGTGCGAGTCGGCTCCCACAATTTATATATGGCACAGCTCTCTCTCTCTCTCCCCCCGAGGTTTATCGATATTGGTGCGCGTATACTTCCGGAAGCTCTTCTTGCAATCTTTTCGAGCAAGCACCACTGCAGTTTTAACACCACTACCGCCACCACCGCCACGACCGACGAGAGGAGTCTCTTTGGTACACGGCGCGCACGGCGTGTAGCCACCAAGCTTGAGCGCGGCGACCTTTAGCTGACTTTTTCGGTGGCAGGGTAAAGCTGACTGAGTTGCACTGCTCTCGGCAGACGAAACCATCGAAAATCCCGAAACTCTGTCCACAGACGACGCGGAGATCGAGTATTTCCCGATCTCGGCCGCATTGACAAGGATTCGCGTGCACCGGAACAGCGGCTCGAGCATCTCGAAGACGATCGGCCGGAGATCGCCGGTCATGAGAGCGGCCCGCACGCTCGCCGAGCGATCTCCGTCCTCCGGGAGCGCGTGTTCCAGAACGCAAGCTATGTCCGCGCCGCCCTCACCGCCCCGGAGAAAGTCCTCGCGTCACAACAGAACCTTGAAGCTCTACTCGGAGACGCGACTGATCGATAGCTCGCACTCCTCGAAACCCAGGCACGAACAGTGTTTCGCGGCCGACAGCGTGTCGAGCATCAGATCGCTGCGAGAGCGCTTCTGCAGCAATCTCGAGCGACGTAGTCGCGAGCACCTGATCAGCGCGCAACGCAGCCCGGTCACCGGCAAAACCGCCAAGACGCCCGGTCTGCTGCCCGCCGCATTCAGCAAGAGGAAATCGGACCCCTGTCTGTCGCAATTCGAAGCGAACCCAGGAAAGAGACTGAGCTCGACGGCCGGATCGAGGAGCCACGTTTGCTCCTCGGCGTCGCCGGCAGCCTCGAGAGGCATTCGGCAGAAGATCGACGGCAAACGTCCGGTCGAGGAAAAAGTGCCGAGGTATACCTCCGTTGGCAGAGAGGGGCGGCGGAGGTCGCCGGAGAGAAGTCCGACGAAATCGGAATCCTCGCCGAGGAAGGAGAAGCCCCGCTTGACCAGGAGGGAACAGGAGCAATCGTGCAAGAGGCTCTCTTCGCCGGTGGAGGTGAGAAAGGTTCTGCAGAAGGAAGCGAAAGACGTGCGGACCAAGGTGCTGCCCTCGGGGACGGTCGTGAGGAGCTCGACGATTCCGTATAGTTCATTGGCGAGTAGGCAGAAGCGTCCGGCGGAGAAATCTCTCAAGGTTGTCGTGGCGGTTTCGCCGAAGGGGCAAGAATTACTGCGGAAGGAGCCGAAGAAGACGAGCTCCCAGCCGAGGTCTGCTCCCGTGAGGGGCGCGTCTTCGCGAAATTTCACGGAGCCGAGGAAAACGAGGGTCGCCGCGAAGCCACCCGAGAAGCTGATCGTCAGTAAGGAATCCCTGGTGTCTTCGTCCGAGGTAAGTGGCGAGGTGAACAAGAGGAAGCCGCAGACCATCGTTCCGATGAGGAAGCCGGAAACGATACGCGTCGCGAACGGCAGCAGGAAAAAAGTGGAAGCGAGGAAGAAGACTCGTAGGGAGAAGACGGGTAGGCCCTCGAGCAGTTGGAGGGAGATGGCTGAGAGGGAGGACATCAAGCTGCTGAGGAAGGTGCCGAGTATCGCGCAGGAGACCGCCCCGTTGACCGTGGAGGAGATCAAGAGGCACCAGGAGGCGACGCGCACGGACACCTTCTTCCAGAACCTCTTCTTGCGAAACCCCCCGAAGAGATCCCTCGTCGGTGAGCGCACGAAGATGCTGCAGGACATGGCGAACTACAAGTCGGAGCCGTCGCTCAAGTCCCTCAGCGTGTATCTCGCGCACAAGCGGCCGGTCTCGAACTCCAAGTTCAAGAACTGGGAGCGCGACAGCGTCTCGTCCAGAAGCTCCAGCCCCCCGTACGGCGTCTGCTGGCCCGGCCGGTCGCTTCTGCAGAAGGTTAGCAAGTTCGACAGCCTGCTGGGCATCGACGAGTTCGGCTCGCTGCGCAGTCCGGAGTTGTCGCACGTGAAGGAGCGCAGTCTGAGCGAGCCGCCCTTGAAGACGGAGTCTTCCCCGCGGAGCTCCTCGCCGTCTCCGACGAGAGCCGAGACTCCCCGACAGATTCGCGGCGTCTCGAAGCAGGATACCCCGAAGAAGATCAGAGCCAGGAGCGCGGGTGAAGCGAAGCGACCGCTCGGCTCGACGTTGTCGCTGACGAAGAGCACGGGTTCTCTGTCCGACCGCGAGGATTACCAGCAGTACATACTCGAGCTGCTGCATCACAGGCGCAAGTCGAGGCGGTACAAGGATCTGCGCGACTTCTACGCCAGCCTGAGCAGGATGGGTCAGCTGGAGCGCACCTTCTCCTCCGGAGAGCTGCGGCCGAGGATGAGGAACGAGGAGATCATCGATTACGAGCGTTGGCAACGGGTGAGGTCGAAGGAGAAAGCGGAGCAGGAGCTGAAGGCGCTCTGTGGTAAGCTGAGGAGCGTCCAGCGCGACAAGGATTTCCTCTTCACCGTGAGGGACGTCGACAAGTTCAGGTGGCACGGTGACTGCGGGCTCCGCTGCAAGGAACGCTCCGTGGAGGACATCCTGCAGTACTTCAAGAAGCTCGAGAACGAGGAGAGCGAGCTGGAATCCTCGAAGAGGAGAAACATCTCCTTGCAGAAGGACACGTACAAGCCTCTCTGGCGCGGCAGCTCGGTGGTGAACGTAGCGAGCGCGATGCAGAGGAAGGCCAACGGCGGTCAGGACGGCGAGCATCCGTCGTCCCTGCAGAGAAGCCTCGGCGGCAGCAAGAAGTTTTGGAGCAGCCTGTCCATCGAGCAAGTGGCCACCCTGAAGAAACAGCTGAACGAAATCTACGGCAGCGACGGGCCTCAGAAAGCGGCGGCGGTGAGGTCGAACGGGGAGGTGGAAGACAAGCGCGAAAGCTTGTCGCGTTACGAGATCATCGTGCCGGCCGGACGTCCTCAGGGCGACTCGAAGGGCCTCCACGTGCGGTGTCACTCGATGATCAGCCAGTCGGCGATGTTGCTGAAGGAATCCGAGGCGAGTCGGGTCGAAGCGTCGAAGAAGAGCGACTCGAAAGGCGGCATAATAGAGAGGTCGCCGACGATGTCCGAGCTGGAGAAGAAGCGGCTGTCGTTGACCCTCGGCAAGGAGGTCCTGGACAAGATGACGCGACGCAGGATGTCCGCGCCGTTGGCACCTCGGGAGACCCGCGGCAGCATCGCCGCCGCCCTGGCGAAGGTGTCGTCGAGGAAGGAGGTCGCGAGCTGTCCGTCCGGCACGGCCAGCGTGGCCAGCACTTCCCCGAGGACCTGCTACTCCCTCGAAGCGGAAGACTCGACGAGACTCAAGGACAAGAGCGACTTCCTGCTGGTGCTGACGCCCAACAACGAGACCGACAAGCAGCGCGTGGAGACCGTGCTCGAGGAGTGGTCGAAGAAGCCGCCGTTGTTGGCCGTGGAAGCTCCCACGACGAAGGCGGGTAGACTCGGCCCGGGCAGCGACGCGGACAGCATGACCGAGAGCTCGGAGGCCTCGGTGAGGACGGTGATTCAACGGAACGTCGAGACGGAGGACGTGTCGCGGAAGATCGAGTTCTTCGAGAACGTGGAGAGAAGAGGGGAAGCGCACCGCGGCTGGAAGAAGCTGTCGTCGTCGCAGAGCTTCGCCGACCTGAAGGAGCTCTTCGGCGAGACCGAGTCGGCCAAGTACAGCGGGCCGGCCGGCTCGCGATCCCGCAGCCCGACGTTGTTGGACGACACGCGACGACAATTGCCCTCCTGTTCACGGGAGCGTGAACGCGAGCGAGCGCGCAGCGTCAGTCCGTGTCGATCCAACTCGTCCTGCAGCTTGGACAGCGGCTGGCTGCGCAGTTCTTCGCCGGATCCCGAGAGGTACTGGCGCGCTTACCTGAAGCTAGTGCGAAACGGCACGGTGCGTCGGTTACGGGCGAGATTCGAGAGCGCGGAGGAGCTGCGCGCCAAGGTCGCGCCGACACCGAAGCGTTTCCGCAGCGACCCGGAGCTAGCGAGGAGCCTGCTGAAGAGGGCGAGCGAGGACGGCGCGCCGAAGCGCGCGGACGTAGCCTGGCTGCGCGGGAGGTTCGAAGGGAGGAGGGCCCGACGAAGGGGCGAGTCGCCGCCGATCCCGCGGGTGCCGCTGCGCCGCGAGAACCTCTCGATGCCGCGCATCGACGTGATCAGCAAGACCGCCGAGCTGAAGGAGCCCACCGTCACCAGCACCGTGAGCAACCACGCGGTCAGGCAGGCCGAGACGAAGGAACTCCGGGCGAAGAAGCCGGTCTGCCGGATGCGGAAGAGATTCGAGTCGCCGGACGCCGGCCGGCGTACCTCCGTCATCGGCGAGATGTTCACGTCGGCGCCGGACGTGCGCGAGCTCCGCGACATCGCGCCCTACCTGGCCGGCCGGTGGGTGGCCCACCGGTTCCCGAATCGCCGCGACAACATGCGCTCCTTGTCGTCGCCGGCCGACCTTGAGCTTCACCGGGGCTCCTCGAAGAAAACCGAGCGAGCCAGCTCGCCCACCCCTGCGTCGATCCTGAAACCTTCGCAGAATATCTTCGCCGGGCAACACTTCGACCCCGACAAGCACAGGCCGAGGTTCAGGTATCAACCGCCGCCGCCGCCACCTTCGCCCGCCGGCGGACGAAAGCACGGAACGTTGTGGCCGACCTTGCCCGTCTACACGGCGCGACCGACCGTCACCTTCGAAGGTCTGAATCCCGCCGGGCTTCGCTCGGCTCGCGAGGCGGACGAAAGGGATGAAATTTAACGCGCCCGCTTTCCCCTCTTCTCTAGTTTTACGAACCTTTCGCGAGATTGCGCAGGGAAGGGTAGAGCTTTAGTTCTCGAGACACGTCTTTATCACCAATATCGCTGGACGTCGGAGAGGGAGGCGCGTTCGCCATTCTGTATACATGTGTAACCCTATGTTGCAGCCCAGAGCGAGTGTCTTTACTCTGTCGTAGCTGTAGAACGGCTAATTATTATTTTGATTTTTTTCCGCTCATCCATAGAATACTCGAATGCACCCCCGCCGCCGCCAAAATCCCAGCACTGCAGGGACGATCGCCAAGGTAATGCCGATTACTCAGCTCATCATTATCGTACCTACGATTTCTCTTTATCTTCCACGCACACGCGCGCGCTCATATACGCGTGTCGCGGTCTGTTTACTACCGGGTGTTTCGTAACACCTGGCATCGGTCTCGCTGTGTGTATACTAAACGTTATTAACCACCAAACGGTTTTTATCGTCGAAGTATCGTCATCATCGTCGCCTCGACGAAAATTCACGTCGCTGATATTCGTTGTAATCGTTAGTCCGTAACCGAGTGTCTCTGTTCCGCTTTCTTCTTATTCTACATTCAGCGAAGCCGAGCGTGCGCGCGAAATTGCATAACAACGGAGATACGGCAACTTCGGTCCTTCCACTAATTGATTTCTTTCTCTTTTTCTTCATTTTTTTTTATAATTTTTTTCACTCGCCTTTCTCACGGAACACGTCAGGCTGGACCGGCAACTTCGCTTTAAAGCAGTTGTAAAGCTTAGCGTCGTATTTTCAGTGGCACGTTAAAATAGGGCCACTCATAAATTTAATCTTCATCAAGCGAAACTACGCGTTCCTATATATTTATTTTACCGAAATAAATGTTAATTTAAAAGGAAGTTGAGATAAACATATACACGCATTATAACAAATACGAAAATATTGTTATTTCTTTATATTTCTTATTAATGCTATATTTATACATCAGTTGATCCAATAGAGATAATAGAAAGAGGTATATAAGTGTTTAAACATGCGCATATGTATATATATATTTCGACTATTGCTACAAATTATAAACATCACACCGTTGTGTTCTTCAAACAAAATAGTCAATCATCTTGAAATATGTGTATAATGTCTGCATATTAACGAAGTTCTTTAATCAGTTTTTCATTAGAATTTTATCATCAGTTTAAAAGATACTAAAGCTAGAAGTAGAAAATAGCACGTTAATCTCAAAGTACACATGAAGAGTGCTCGCTATCAGTTGCAACTATCTCATCTCGGATGATGAATTCTCTTTTTGTAATTGCACGACCGGTTAGACAATCTTTCAATATGTATGCAGCGTGAGTTTCATCGGATTTTTGTTTCAACTTGATCAAACTCATTTTACCGTGCCAATTCCTCTGAGCGATAAGCAAATTACCCAATCACAGTCGTTTATTCATGAACCGTAAGAAGAATGATCGAGCGTGGTTGGTCAATTTGCTTACTACTTAAAGCGAGCCTGAGTCGACATCGAGCGGCACAAAGTCGCAAGAGCGCGGCCGATGCATAATGGAGCATGCGACTCTCCGGGATGCATGAGTGAGCGTCAGGGGGGGGGGAGATTGTGCAACCGTTTCACGAGCGATCGAGCATGAGAGCGCAATGATCGCGGGCAGCATGACGCTCGTACGTGCGGCCACATTATTCCTTCGGGTCCGTCGTCGTAAGTCGCTCGTCGTTGCGCGATGGGAGCGATCGATGCGCGACCGCCGAAAATAATGTGCGCTTTCGCGATGGGGAAACCGACGCGCGAACCACTCGCCGTGCAGTCCCGATTAGAAATTTGATATTAATTGCATTGTACCTCGCTTGCTTTCTTGTGGCTGCGCAAGACCACGCACCGGCGTCAGTGTCGATGGGACATTCCCGCCTATGGTTTCGGATAACACCGTTGCTTTCCGCAATTTTTCCGCGGGTTTCTTTCTCTTCTGACTCTCGAGGGCGCGTTTGGAAAAATTCACTCGAAGGCTGCCACGATTTCCCGTGAAAAAGAAAGAAGCGCGGAGAAAAATTCCGCGAAGAGAAATTCCGTGAAGAAAAGAATACCGGCGGAAAAATGTGGGGAGAGACGATATTCTTGCGAAACTTAAACATTCGAATTTGCTTCGTTGGACGATTGGAAATCGAGATCGACGGATCTTGCATGAGCATAAAGCAATACCGTCTTGGTCGGATTTAACGACGAATCCGTTCGGCGTGTTCCGGTGATTCGGTTGAGAAGCGACAAATCGACCACTTCCGCATCGGGGAAGTGCAACAGCACGGTTCTACCTGAGATACGTCATATAAGATGGAAGCGATTGATGCGACCGCGATAGAAATGATGGCAACATTTGGCGCGTCGGCGAGGTGCGGGGAATCGACGGGGGAAAGAGTCGAGCTGACACGTTAACACGTCGGGGAGGGGAATGGGAGGTTAATTTCGTCGAAATAATCGTGCGCGAAGGGTGGCGATGACCCGAGAGAGCTGCTCATCGGTTCACGGTGTCAAGAGCGGCCGTCAAAACGATGGTCACGCATGCTAATTGTCTAACGGAAAGGTAACTGGCTGACGTTCAATTTACACGCGAGTGCAACTTTCGAGCGGCGCGCGCGTCGGAAATTCGTGAAGCTCAATGTCGCAATGTAACTCTCCTTCTTATCTCTTTCCTTCTCCTTTATATTTCCCACCGACTCGATTCTTTCACCGGAGAGTCTCGGATTCACTCCGAAGCGATTACTGCCAATTGGGAGATCTCGCTCGGAGGGTCGAGTCTCCGATTAGATGGTAATTATGTTGATCGCGCTCAACGTCAGGGACACGCACGCACTCGCGCGCCGCTAAAATTGGCTAAGTACCGGCCACGATTATTTTCGACGATGACCACCGCAGTAGCGCCTGTGCCGAGGCGGTCCGCGCGCCTTTGTGCCGATGCAGCGCAGTAAATTTGACGGACGATAGCCGTTGCATAATCGTAATTAGCATACCTATTTATCAGCTCGTACGCTCGTCTGCTCTCTTCGACGTGGAATTATCCTTGGCATTGTTGTCGAGCGTACGTGCGCAATCGCTCCGACCGGCCGGTCCGTTTGCGAGATAGCGCGAGGTGCTCCTCCGCGTTTTTCCTCGAGGCAAAGTACATTACACCCGTGTCGATTGTCTCTTATCTAATCTCCCGATGATTGATGAGTACGCGAGTCTCTCCGCTCCTCGACAGTTCCCGTCGGCGATGCGCGCGATCCACACTTCTCCAAATTCGCGCGAGAGTGAAACCAGTGCGAAAACAAGGCCCCCTCCCTTAATGCCGCGAATAATTAGTGCGTTGCGGCGGACGATTAGCGTGTAAAGCAGGGGAATATAATAGAGGCAGTGAAACGTGTATCGCACGCCGCGGAACAACGCGACTTTTGTGCGCGCTTTCAAACCACACGCTTTTCAGCGCGAACGCTTTTCTGTATTTTTATCGTCGCGAACGAAACGGCTGAAAGAAGCGCTTATCAGTTTCCGTAGGATCACATCGAGATACGAAGATAGAAAAGCGCCCTTGTGGACGAGCATCTACGAAGTTTCGCGCAAAGTTCCACGCAAAGCAGCAACGATTTAATATCCTGCCGCTTTCACCGTAACAAAAAAATCAGAGCGCCTGTCAACATCCTGCCGACGTCCTTGATTCCGATATCTCTTGTTCACAGTCGAGCCGCGTTCGCCGATTCACGGGAGCGTCCGAGTCGGAATTTCAATGTCACTTTGACGCTCTCAAGAATAGTTCTACTTAAATGGACCGATTAAAATCTACTTCGACGATACTACGCTACTTTTTAACTTCCCTCTTGAACTCGGAATTTCCACAAATTTCTCAATCTTACCGATTTTTAATCCTACAAATTCTCACTTCTACGGAATTCTACAGATTCAACTTTAATGCCCACACCTTGGAGCTATAAACGCCCTCGATCATTAAATTCATATTAATATATCGAAAGGATCAATTTTAGCGTCATTTCGATCGACACAAGAGAGCAAATGATATCGTTATGATTGCATCTATTTCCCGCTCTTTGTAAAATTCAAGCATTCAGCATTTCGGGGCGGCCGCGCTGCTCCGCGAAAACGCTCCTCGAACTTCGCGCTTGGTGAACCGTTCTCCAAGGAGTAGGGGGGGAGCGTGATAACCGGTGCGAGCGTCGTCGCGGCGCCTTCAGACGCGTTTCGCGTGCGTCGCGCGACGCAGCTTTTTAACGACGGGTGTAGCGGCGAATCCCACGGCAGGTGCGCCGTTACGTGGACGGTTGAGTGATTCGTCGGGCACGCACCCGGGTCGAACGTCTGCCTTGACACGATCGTCTCTCGAGCGTCGCAAGAACGATGACGACGTGGATCCGCTTCGAGGATAGCGCGATCAATCGCTCGCAGGTGATTTCGCGATGATCTTGCCGAGTGTTATCAGTGCGCGCTCGATAATCGGACCTGGTAATCGCGGGAGTTCGCCACCGCGTGAAACCCAGCAAGGTTATCGCGTGTGATATCGACGCGCGATTTTTTCCTCGAACGACGCGTTTGCAGCACGCCGGACAGTCTGTTTTAATCGAGAGTGGATCGCGAACCACCTGCTGTTTCACTCCGACGCCTCCTTCTCCTCGGCCGATGACGTCGGCGCGGATAACGCGCGATAAGAGCGAGGAGAAACGCCGAAAGTAATTAAACGGAGCCGGCGAAAACAAAAATAAACGTCGCCGCGCCACTGTCGACGTTCCCTGCGAAACAGGTGGGGGGAGGGGGAGACCTGGTGAATACGTTGATCCACATTGCGCTGGAAACCCGCGTTCATTTGAATAGAATAGCCATGAGAGTGCAAGTAACACCTTTCCCAGGGAAAAATTTCGCTTCTGCCCGCCGGCACAACAAGCAAACACTCCTCGTTGAGGCACCCGGGCCGCTAATAATGGCGACTCGTATTCTCATTTTCCGACGTTGACGCGATTTTACCTCCGAATGAGACGTGTAGATTCCTCGCGACGGAGTCGGCAGCACGAAATCGTTAATTACGAGAGACCGGCGGTTAATGAGTCAACGCCGTTATGTCGCCCGGAATGATGCTAAGTTGAGCGCGACGCGTTGATTAAGGGTAACCACCGGGCCTTTTCGCCGGGAGCTCCTCGAGTTTCGCGCCTTTCTCTCTCTCTCATGTCTCAGCGACGATTATTCTCGTGTAATCGGAACGAGTCACACGCCTCGCGCATATGAAAATAACCTATCGTGACACGAGCGATCGT